CCCTCTTTAACCACCAGCTCCTCGTCGCCAAACGTTGCGCACATGTACTTTCCGAATTTGTGCCATACTGTTCGAATTTCCTCCGTGCGTCGGCGGTCCTGGATTTCGATCTGCGAGAGTCCTCTATCCTGCTTGACGGTTGTGTAGTAGTCAAGCGGGACACTCTTCGCGGCCTCTCGATTTCGGCCGTGCTTCTTCAGGTGGTTATATCCGTCCGTGGCAATTGCAGCTGTGACCGGATTCTGGTCGTCACCTGTGAGCAGGGTGCCTATACTACCATCATCGAGGACATAGCCAACTCCATATCTGCGCGAGTAGTCCACCCATTTTGTGACAAAAGGCAGCTGAGGAGGCTGTTCTCTCCTTGACTTCGAGGGCTTCTTGTCGAGAGCTCGAGCAAGGTTGTCTCGGAATGTATACAGTCGCGCCAACACGGTGACCGGATCGGTGGCAGACAGTTCGGCGCTGACCGCGCGAAACTTTGGCTCGCTCCTGGCGGACGTGGAAAGTTTCGTGCTTCTACTCGAAGTCGTGAATTGGCCTGTTGGCTCTGGGATCTCCGTGACTTTTACGGTCGTCTTGATCGAGCGGACGGGCGGGAGGTCAGAAATTGCCGTCTCCAATCCCTGCGTGGATTTCTTGACGCCTTCTCGAGCAGCACGCGCTCGCGTCGTTGGTCTGGTCTCTACTGCAGGTGCAGGTGCAGGTGCTGTGACTGTATTGACTGGAGCAGAACTGGGAATCTTGCGGGCTGCCCGTAACCTGGTGGGTGCCTTGTCTAGTGTCTTCCGAGCTGGCTCTGGTTCCGTTGACGGTGCTGGCTCTTCCTTGACTGGCTCGTTCTCTTTCAAAGCAGGCGGTGTCCTTTTCCTAACACGAGGCAGACGTCCGTTCAAGCGATCGTTTCCAGATGTCTCAATCAGTGCCTGCCCCTCTTGCGATGACTCCCTCTCCTCCGAGATCTCACTCAATCCTCCAGGCGCAGGTTGATGTGGCCACTGTACACGTGCAGGGAATGGCACATATACGACGTCCTTACTGAAAGGCACGCTGGGTTGCTTGCCAGCCTCGATCTCTTTCTGACAGTCACGAGCGACTGTCTTGTTTCTTCTGCTTCCATACGCGCCGAACGACTTCCCTGGCTCGTACTCGCCGACCGAGGACGCTTTACACAGCGTCCACCATTCCTCCGTATAACCCCTCCGTATCGTCGAAGCAGATGGTGCGCGCTCCTTGGGCCATCTTGGAATCTTGGTGGTACATGCGCTGTCCAGCTCTAACGGGATCATTCCATGCTTGAAGTAAGGATGTGCTACGATCTGATCGGGTGTGGGCCTATCGTCCTCGTGGACAAGCAGTAATGACACGATGTCGCGCAGATCGTCTGTGATGTCGTTCGAGCACTTGGCTGGGTCCGGCCAGGAGTATTCACGCGCCTTCAGTTTTCGGTAGATATCCTCGCGCTTCGCGGCATGGAACGGCGCTCGACCAACGGCAAGTGTGTACATCATGATGCCAATCGCCCACAGATCGACCTTCTCATCGTGCCCTTTGCCTGTCTTTTCAAGGACCTCGGGCGCGAGATAGTTCGGTGTGCCACACATGGTCGTTCGGCGAATCGCACCGTAGTCGTTCTGAGAGAGAAGCAGGGCGGCGAGACCGAAGTCGCCGACCTTGACGTTCATGTCTTTGTCGAGGAAGAGATTACCGGTCTTCAGGTCGCGGTGGACAATATTTCTTTGATGGAGGTACTTGATGGCACCGCACGTCTGGATCATGAAGCGACGAATCTCGGGCATGGTGAAGTACTTGCGCTTCTTGATCGCATCGGCGAGAGAGCCATTTTCACACAGCTCCAGAACAACATAAGTACTCGAGTGGAAAGAGAAGGCGCGGTAGAACTCGACGATGTTGGGATGGGATAGTTTGGAATGAATTTGTAATTCAGTAACGAACTACGACACGTCAGTATAGGATTATAGGACTTTTGCTCTGCCTCGCACCTTTTGTGCCAGTTTGGGGGGCTCCATCTGGGATTTGACAATCTTCAAAGCGACGGTACTGCTGCCAAGATGGTCATGGCCTAGCAATTTTGCGCGGTGGCAGATGGCGAAGCCACCCTTGCCCAGCTGTGGTCCAGTCTCATATTGCAGGCCTTCGGGATCGCGCACCACCTCTGGTGGTGGCTCAGCGTGGACGGACGGGGCGGACATTCTGACGTTGGCGGTCGAATGTCGGATGCCGTGGAGGCGTGAGCGCTGGTGTTGAAGGGACCAGGCTAAAAACAAACCGTTGCCGGGGCAGCTCACCCCGGTCGCCTCCAAGTAACCCAAGTCTACGCGCATGCTTGGCTACACCCATGACGCACCTTTGGTGCCTCGAGTAACTATCCCAAATCGATACTTAGTAATAGTATTTGTGACCAGCCTTATGAGCCATGTTAACGTGTGATGCTTTTGGACGCATTTGTTCATATCCAGCTGTTGCCTGCAAGCTGCCCATGGCAGGGGCAGCAGTGACGTTGGCCTCGGGGATTTTAGCTGCGGAACTTCAGGCAGCTTCGAAGCAGCCATCACCTCTCCACAACTCTCGTTTTCGAGCCTGCACAATTGACACCACAACATTATACGGAAGTCATTCGCGACGCGACTGCTATGAATTCTCTTAACCACAAAACCTCCTACATATAACATCGTCGAAGCTCTTCCGCCAGCCCAGCATGTCTCTCACGCTGAAGATCACCTCGCTGTTCGTGAGAACGCTCGCGAAGCCAATGGCTGTAAGGACAGTTGATACTGGGAATTTGGGCAAGAGCTGATGTTACCCAGAATGCCATCAAGCGTAACGCCCACGAGCACGAGCGTTTCCGCAGGATATGCGTCAGCTTCGCGCAGAGAATCCACCGAGTCGACATGAGGATGCGCCTCGGTCTGCTGCAAGACCCAGCTGTAATCGATCGTCAGATCAAAAAGGAGGTAGCTGCGGCCAAGGCAGCGCGTGAAAAGCACGCGACACCTACGGTCAAAACGGAGGCAGAGACAAAGGCCGAGGAAGAAATGACAGAAAAGGAGAAAGAAGACATCAAGAAAAGGACAGAAGAGAAATTCAAACCGCGGATTCGACCGCTCTCTGAGCAAAAGGCCATCGAAACTGGCGCTAATTTCGTCGCCGAGGCCTTCATCTTCGCCGTTGGCATAAGCGTCATTGTCTTCGAGCAGTGGCGCCAAAGAAGGAAGGCCAAGAACGCACGAGACGACATCCGTGAGGATCTTGAAGAATTACAAGTCGAGCTGAAGACTGTTAAGAGCGAGCTAGAGGAGTTAAGGAAAAAGCATCCTGATCCTGTACAGCAGGGGAAACTGCTCAGCTTTTGGAGAGGCAGCGGCGTTGCAGAGCACCAAAAGACCGAAGAGGAACACCGGGCCGAGGCAAAGACCGCTATTGCTAAGGAAAAGGAAGCGAAGAGACTCAGGGAAGAAGCCGAAGCAGGGAAGCCTTCAAGTGCGTCCAATCTGATGATCGCTCAAGCATCGAGTCCTTCTGAGGAACAACCAACTTCAAGCAAGACCGACTAATGTTGGACTGGTTGGGCTATTCTGTTGGTTATAGGCTGTTACGGTGCAGCAATGCTCATATTTTGTAGATAACTTCTCCTCTCATGATACCCCTTCCACCTGTAGAAACATTAGACAAGCGGTGCGTGGCCTTTACTTTTGCTCGTTTGCGGCACAGAGAGGATTTGTAAGAATAGAAATGCGCAAGCTGTATGATCTGATATCCATTGAGAACCCTGCAGTCATGATCGGTAGAGAAAGGTTGAGCTTCATTTTCTACTGCTCTACTGTAGAGACGGATATCAAGGCTGACTAGATAGCAGCTTTTCTCCAAGAACTGTCCCTTCGAAATCAATGTGTATGAATCTCATTATCTGCAATGCAAAACGCCATTACCCGAGGTTCAGTTCATTCCTCTGAGGTATCCTTGGCCTGTCCAACTGTAATCGACAGATGCACCTATCGCTCTTTCTTGCTGTAAGATCCACGTGCTTGGTTCTGCTGAACCACAGCCCTCGACCCCAGCTCGGCCAGACCTGCGCTCACCTCCTAACTCATCTCAGCCACTCGGCTGCGCCCATGGTTGGTCAAGCTTCTTCACTTCGCCTTGGCCTATAGCTTGAAGGTGCCACCGCGACAGACCGCAGTAAACTTAGAGCCACGCTTTTGACATTCTGACGACGCAATGCCTGCATATTACTCCGCGTCGAATAATCAGGTCCAGGCGATGCAAAGCCGCCGTACTCCAGTCAGCACGCCGCGGGCCTCAACCTCGCGCCAACCTGTACTTGAGTACAGAACTCCAGCAGGCGAACCTGCCGAATATCGCTGGCACAAGGCTTCGCCTACAGCAAGGCACGACACCAGCCAGCCTCCCAACCATCTTTACCAACAGCAGCATCAACGGCCCTACCTCTCCACCCATCAGCCACAGCTTCTCGCACAACCCCAATTCTCGCCATTTCATCAGCCCTCAAGTGCTGCAGCGCTCCACCCGCCTTCCACACACCCAAAAACAGAAGAAAATGCTGTGAACAAGCTCCTACACCACTGTACGGTCGAGCACCCTCTAGATACTAGTCAAGTCATTGGTCTCACCGACGCCGCTGGCAGCTTGAAAGAACTTGTCCTCCTCGCGCTGGGCGCCAAAAATGGCTCCGCACCGTGCAAAGGCAGATTCAAGAGTGCTCTGGAAAACGAGCAAGTGGTCGCCGGGGTTATCGACTTCTTCTACGAAGAGTTCAAGATCGAGTAAGAGTAGGTACGGAGACCAGGGCTCAAAGATGTTTGAAGGGGTCTGGATCGCCTACCCGCGTACACAAGTGGAGCTCCCGACCCACATCGCTAGCGAAGCTCGAGCACCACGGTTGTCACAACTCACGGAGGGCAAATAAAAAATTACTCGACCCCGCCACTCCGGAGAATAGCTAAAGAGCAAAAAAACGAAGGGCCGAACCGGGATCGAACCGGTGACTTCAGGATATTCGTGAATCACTGCAATCCCACACTCTACCGCTGAGTTACCGACCCAGATTTGTTTTTGATGGAAGTTTCAGCAAGCAAAAGATTTATATAGATAGTTGATTGTTAGAGTGGATCAAAGGAAGACATGACAGTAGTATCAATGCGTCATACACTTCGCCTCCGGTCCCAAAAAGTAGTCTCCGATCTGCGTAGCTATGTCATCGACCTGGAAAAAGCGTCAGCCTCGTTGGTTGCTACTTTTATCTGGCGCAAAATACACAAAGTACCATAATGTCATTGAATTGTTCTACAGCTCTACAGGATGCCTAAGAGTCTGCAAGCAACCCAAAACTAAATTTAGTGGGTGAGCTTTGGAGAGAGCACACTTTGACTTGGCAATGGAAGGTATCGGGTGAAGAATAACTTGCTTGCCTTCTCTTGACAAGCAGGCAATACTTGTCTTCAATAACACACAACCAAAAATCCGGAATTAGCTTCTCCTTCCTTAGCTCTCGTATAACTCTGCAGTTTCACAAAGCCACTGTAAGCCACATAGGGCTGTAGAACATACAATTATTGTTGTACAGGACGTTGAAATGGCAGGTAGTACCAAATACTTAACCTGTTGCAGTACAAACATCCAAAGCCAGCCTAACCTGCGCGCGCATATGGAAATGCTTATCGCAGCACCGCTTCGCCAGTCCTCAACCACACATACAACTATTTTGTCCCACCCCTTTCCCACCTCGAAACAATTTTGTACATGCCTAAAGCCCCGGTCAGGCTAATATCACTTCACATCGGTCTCAATCACCTCCACGTCTCTGCAAAGCTCTTCATTACCCAAGTTCGTATCCGCTTTGACAACTAAGGACAACACAACACTGCGGTACATACTCACACCCTATCACGAAGCTACCACAAACCAGCACTAAGTTACATACACAGAAACAACCACTCAAGCCAATCGCTTCAACGACGTCCCAAGACAAGTAATCCTTTGCCTGTTTTCGTCCCGCCCGAATCTCTCTCATTGACGTAGAGAGAGACTGGGGTCCGCAGCTCCGGGAACTAGAGCGGGTGAACAAACGGCGGATGGAGTTCGTGCGGCAGGAGCAGCAGGCGCAGAGGGACAGGCAGCAGCGGGTGCAGTGGAACGGCTTGGACCCTCAGTACCAGCAGTGGGTCGGGAAGGTGAGGACTTCAAGGTTGTAGGGGAGGTGAGCAGCAGGAGGAGAGTGAGGAGGACGAGGAGGGGAGGGAGAGGAGGAGGGGAGGGAGAGGAGGAGGGGAAGGGATGCCGGGATCTTAACCGTGGTCGAGTTTGTAACGCGGACGTGATTTGGTCCTTTTCTATGCGGCTGCTTGGCTGCCACATTCCAACTCCGATACCTAAAAGTACTGCGGGCCATAGCGGTGCAGTACTGTTTGACAAAATCAGCCGGACGGCTCGCGCCTTGTATTCGGGAACTCGCAATAAATACATTTCTAATTGTGAAGAACATGGACCACACTGGGCGTTGAAGCCGAAGCGGATGTATTACCCAGATCGGGAGCCTCGCGCTACTCGGGACGAACCGAGGATAGCGGTGAACGTATGTGAAGCTTCTCAAATCTCATATCCTGATGCATAGCATCTTCGAGAATGTATTCAAGCTTGTGAAACAATTAGGATGAACTTTGCGTGCTGCAATTGATGGGAAAACTCAGCCGAACCAAGCCTGCTCAGTGGCATAGTGCATACATGCAACAGGAAGCTGATGACGATCATCTCGGACAACAGTCTAAATGACTTCAGTACGCCGCACTACCGATAAGATGCCGGCGCGGGGAACCTTGAATGCTCTCTAGCGATACCGTATCTGGGATCAGGAACATCATATCAACACACCAAAGAAACCCCACGGTGTAACCATAGCCATATAGCACGGAAGACTATATCCAGTAGCAAACCGGTCTAAGGCAGATCGCGTAATCACGTCGGAGTCGGAAAGTTTATCAACGGAACATAAAATGAAACGGCTATCAGTAGCTGTCGCTTCATGGCTTGGATGAAAGTTTAGTCTCGGCTCGCTGAACAAAATGCCGCGCTCAATTTTCTCCATAACCTCAATCGCTACGGTCCTGTTTTCTGGAATCGCGAAAGCACAAGCAACAGGACCTTACGAACCAACATGGTCCTCGACCGACACACACAACGCCTCCCCTGAATGGTTCCGCGATGCCAAGTTCGGTGTATACTGGCACTGGGGTGCATTCACTACTCCACAATTTGCCAGCGAGTGGTACGGTCGCTACGTTTATGAGCCTGACAGCGATGCACGCAAAGAACATATACGGCGCTACGGACCACCAGAGGTTTGGGGATATGACCACTTTGTCACCGGTGCAAACGATCTGAACGGCAGCTTTGTACAATTTCACCCAGTACTTTCTTCCCAAGGCGGCGTGTGGGATCCTGAGGATTGGATCGCCGCTATCAATGCCTCAGGTGCTAGGTTCGCTGGTCCCGTGGCTGAGCATCACGACGGCTTCTCGATGTGGGATAGTAAAGTGAACGAATGGAACTCCGTGGCCTACGGTCCTGGGATGGATCTGGTCAAGTTGTGGGAGGGACTTGTCAGAGGAACTGGGATGAAGTTCATGATTGCCATGCATCAAGCCTTCAATACCAACGGTTTCTACCAGTACGCGCCACAACAAACAAATAGTAGTCTTCAAAAATTCTACGGCCAGCTTGGCAAGGAGAGGTCTGACGAGCTCTGGCTTGAGAAGCAACTGGAGGTCCTTGATCATGTCCAGCCAGACATGGTCTGGAACGACTTTTCCCTCGACAGTCCTGGATACTGCCAGGACGCCCCAGGCTTTGCCTGCAGTATTGGAGAGCAACAGCGCCTCGCATTCCTTGCGCACTACTTTAATCGCGGTGTTGAGTGGAGCAAGGATGTTCTCACGACCTACAAGCACTTTGACTCTGGCTTCCGCAACACATCTGCTGTAGCTGATTTCGAGCGCGGTGGCCCAGCCGACATCGTCCGCCCGTACTGGCTTACAGATGACGCCATCAGCGCATCCAGTTGGAGCTACACAGTCGGCATTAAGTACTACAGCTCCACGCAGATGATTCACTCTCTGCTTGACCGCATCAGCAAGAATGGCAATATGCTGCTCAACATTTCTCCAACCGCAGCTGGAATTCTGCCAGACGAGCAAAAGAAAGTCCTCTCCGATATTGGCGCTTATCTCGGTCGTTACGGCGAGTCTGTGTACGAGACCCGTGCTTGGGATATCTACGGCGAGGGTCCCAACACGGCTGGCGGTGACTCCTTCACAGCTCCGCTTACAGGAAACAGCTCGGATATCCGTTTTACGCGCAACAAGGCCAAGAACGTTCTATACGCTACGGTTCTAGGTTGGCCTAACAGCAGCTCCGTATCTGTCAAGTCCCTTTCTTCGAGCGCCCAAGTCGATCTGGGCAATCTGGCATCGGTCGAACTGCTTGGAGACACGAGTGGAGAGTACATTAAAGTGGTTGGCTGGAAACAGGACGACTCTGCCCTAGTCATTCACCTACCCTCCAAGCCAGCTGACTCGCAAGCATATGTGCTCAAATTGAGCTTCAACAACACCATTCCTGTGCCTCAGATCGCCGGCGGCGCTTCGTTGTTCACAAGCGATACCGTTAATGGGCCTGGCATCTCTTTGCCAAAGGGGGAGTTCTTGCCGGTGTTCTTCAGCGATGCTGGTATGAAGACGGAGGAGTTCCAACTTCTTCGAGTTGGTAATGGTACTATGGTGACAGTGTATGCCGGCAAGGACCTGAGTGGAAATGCCACCGTATATACCGCTGGAGAGCATGTCATTGGGGCGGGAGGGGTTGGATCTGTCAAGATCGCTGCAGCATGAGTCTCGTGTCTGCAAGCCCGTTATGTCGAAGGAAAGATGAGAACGAAATTTTCAAATTCAGCGATATGAGAACAAAGATCTGGCAATATTACCATTTTAGTTGTGGCAAATCAGAAATAGAGGATCGAGAGCCTGTCAACGAAACCAGAACGACCAAGACAGCGCGGGCTGGACGGCAAATTGGCTGGTAGTCTGTTCCCTCTCGCATTGCACTTAGGCCACGAATCTCGTAGAAAAGCGCAGAACTTGTGTGCGAACATCTACTTGGCAAGACTGAAAAGGGAGTAGAGCTAGCCAATATTTACGGTTAATCTGTATACAATTGACGCAAAAACCCTTCCCATACGCGTTGAGTCCCTGGACCAGCTCACACATATTCGGATATCATGCAAAGTAGCCAATTAGATCTGAAATGACACAGCGGTCCTGTCCTGTGCTCGAGATGAAGTGTCTTTGAGTAATGTAAACGGTGCCACCAGGACCCCTTGCCAAAACCATGTGGATCTTCACGTGCGAGAACGGCTGGCGCTGCGCCAATGACGCGCGGCGCCACAATTGATCCCTGCTGGATCATGGAAGCGGCAGGTCCCCATAGAAGTTTGACGGCCGCGATGGCTGCACGCTTCCACGACAAGTGTTGGTGTCGCTGCAAGATCCCCCGCATCTGCATGGCTTGATATCGTGTACCTATATAACCTGCCGTCCCCACCACACTCATGTCGCTCCCTCCTCCCGCCACCAGCCCCAGGATGCCACCGAGCAAAGGTAGGATCTCCCTTGCGCGCATGTCCCCCTCCGCTATGGAATTGCCTGCTGACGAGTTGCAGAAACCGCGGCGCACGAATGCGTGTCTGAAGAGGCGCTGCAGCATCTCAAGACGTACAAATACTCGAGCGTCGACAAATCCTTCATCTCCCGCTACATCCTCAAGCACTACGTACGGGCCCCTATTGCGACCGCTTCGATTGCGCACCGTCTGACATGACATAGTGGAATGGCTTCGTGGAGCTTCTCCCCATGTGGATTGCGCCCAATCTGGTCACATTATTAGGCTTTTTCTTCATCCTTGGGAATGTTGCGTTGCTCGAGGTTTATGTGCCGGATCTCGTCGGACCGGTCAGTCTACCTCACGCCTCTGTATCTTGACGGAGAGCTCACAC